AGAGGAGGAGGAGGAGGAGGAGGAGGAGGAGGAGGAGGAGGAGGAAGGGTGAAAAGGAGAAGGAGAAAAAGGAGAAGAAAGGGAAGAAGAAAGGGAAAAATAAGGGAGGAGGAGGAGGAGAGGAAGAAGGAGGAGGAGAGGAAGGAGGAGAAGGAGGGGAAGAAGAAGGGGAAAAATAAGAGGAAGGGTGTGGAGGAAAAGGAGAAAAAGGAGAAGAAGAAAGGGAAAAAATAGAAGAGGAAGGAGGAGGAGGAGGAGAAGAAGAAGAAAAAAAATAAGTCCTTTGCTCTGCTCCTCACCTGACCCGCAATTTTGCCCAAGTCAGCAGAATTCACACGACGTAACGCGCAGGTTTCTGTTGGACCTTGCCTGCAAAATAAACCCCTTCAAATTCCTAATTCATCCCAATTCTTATTTCCAACCAATCCGCTAAGTTTGTACGGAAGATAAATACAAGGAAAGAAAAGCAGTTTGATATCGTTACCATCTCCACTTCTTTTTTTAAAAAATTCTGACTTAAACTTCTCATTCGTTCTCATTCATTCTTCAATTTCATGGCTATGACTTTTTTAAATTCTGAATTGTTCTTCTCGGCTGTCTCTGCCTGGACCTGGACCTTCCTTCCCAGATGGGGTTTTTTTTCCCCCTCCCCTAATGTTTACTGAGGTTTAGCAAACAAGGCAGCTGTTTTTCTCCAAATTTCTCAAAATCCCCATCTGCAGTTCCCAAGCCAGTGTATATATTTAGGTCTACAACAGGAAATAATCTTTTGAGGCCCTAATATGGTTTTTTAAAATCTGTTGATAGCTCAGTTTTATTACAGCCGCCTTCTTGGGCCTTTACAGTTAATCCTCGGCTTTACGACCATAATGGAAGCTGAAATTTCCGCTGCTAAGCAAGACAGGCATGAAGTGATTGTTCTTGCCATGTTTGTTATGGGAATCTGGCTTCCCCGTTGATTTGACTTGGACTAGAAGACTGTATTTCTTTCCTTCCTTCCTTCCCTCCCTCCCTCCCTCCTTCCTTCCTTCCTTCCCTCCTTCCTTCTTTCCTTCTTTCTTCTCCTTCAGTTACCTTTTTTCTTTCTTATCATTCATTTTTCCTTCCTTCCTTCCTTCCTTCCTTCCTTCCTTCCTTCCTTCCTTC